CATTGTCTGCCCGGCTGTGAGCGGGGCAGAGTTTGGGGGTGTGGCTGCCTACAGCACTGGCCTGGAGGAGCTGCCCCAGCCCTGGGTCCTCACCTCTGCAGACACTGTCAGCCTGGGGCTGTTGCTCTGACCTCTCCCTTCCCCTGCTCCTGGGGCCTGAGGGGGTCGGTTCCTGCCTCTGCCTGGTGGCTGGCTGGGCACGGGCAGAGCAGCTGCTGTGTGTTGCCAAATGCCAGTGGAAGCTGCTGTCCTGTGGCACGCAGAGGCCTGGCTGGGCTGGGTGGCCTGTTCAGAGCTGCTCCTCTCCTTCTGGTGCCTGCAGCTCCAGCTTCACCTGTGGGCTGGCCGGGGCCATTGCCTCCAACCCCGTGGACGTGGTGCGGACCCGCATGATGAACCAGCGGGCGATCGTGGGCACCACGGAGCTCTACAAGGGCACCCTGGATGGGCTGGTGAAGGTGAGGAGGAGGAGGGTGGGCCAAGGGGGCTGCCAGGGTCCAGCGCTGCTGCTACGGGCAGTGGGATTCTACAGCCCCAGGACGTGCTGGTCAGTGGGGGTTCCAGACTAACAGAGGAGGGCTTACGGTGTTACAAGAGGTTTCTTCACCCTCCATTTCCTGTAGCAGAGTCTCAGGCATCAAATCTTATAAAATAATTTATTCAGGTGGTACAGCAGAAAAACAGCTCAAGCTGGTGGCTCTGGAGAGGGACCTGAACAAAGAAATCCCTGGGCACTTAAACCCTTGTGGTTTAAGCTCCCTCACACGGTGCTTCAGTCCAACAGTACCATTTGGATCAGGGGTCTCTTGTTCCTCATGGGATCCTTTCTCCATCTCCAGGCTGGTGGCTCTTATTTGAGGATGCAGCTTTTGCTGCCAAAGCTGGTCCCTTGCTTTTCACAGGGTGCAGCTTCCTTGGGGCCTCCCTTCGGGTGACTAGGTGTGAGTTCAGCACAGGCTCACTGCCTGTGGCCCGAGGTGTTGGTAAATCCAGCTGCTCGGGCTAAGGAAAGCAAAAGGAGTTTCAGTTCAACCCCATTTTAATCAAGCCCCCAATTATTTCAGCATTCTACACACAAACTGTTTAATGCTCAGCACAGAGTCACCATCCCGGGGTCGCCATCGGCTCCCCTGGGACAGAACTTGGTGGTGATGCAGTTGTTGAGGTTGATAGCCTGGGAGTGGCCCCTCCTCCAGTCACAGCTCGGGGGCCTGGCTGCTGCTGCAGGAGCTGCAGAGGCCCGTGGGGTGGGGGAGGCGGGCAGAGCGTGGCCCCCCAGCAGCCCAGGACTGACCTGTCCCCTCTCCCCTCCCAGACGTGGAAGAGCGAGGGCTTCTTCGCGCTCTACAAGGGCTTCTGGCCCAACTGGCTGCGCCTCGGTCCCTGGAACATCATCGTATCCTTCAGTGCTGTGGGGGCCACGGGGCGGGTGGGCAGGGCAGGGCAGGGCTGTGGGGGGACCCCTCGGCCTCGCTCCCTGTTCCCCGCTTTCCAACAGGCAGTCCTGGCAGCCCCCAGCAGGTCTCCCCAGCTGGAGCCTTCTCCTCTCAGCTGCCCCAGCCCAACTCTCTCCTGCTGGGCTCCCAGCAGAGGG